TTCAACTCGTCTATTTGGCCTGTGCAAAAAAACAGATGGATCTTGGAAAATAACAGCAGATTATCAAAAACTTAACCAGGTGGTGACTCCAATTGCAGCTGTTGTTCCAGATGTAGTTTTATTGCTTGACCAAATTAATACATATCCTGGTACCTGGTATGCAGCTAATACCTTTTTCTCCATACCTGTTTCGAAGGAACACCAGCAGCAATTTGCCTTCAGCTGGCAAGGCCAGCAATACACCTTTACTGTCCTACCGTAGAGGTATATCAACTCTCCACCCTATGTCATAATATAATCTGCAGGGACTTCATGCCACCAAGAAGGAAGAACTGGGAGTGGAGCAGGTCCTTTGGACCTGGGGTCCCTGCTCTGAGTAGCCCCTAGTCCAGGGGAAGATTGATGGCAAGGACCTTCCCCCAGAACCAACAGAGAGAGAAAAGCTTCCCCTGGAGCTGGAACCCTGAATGTGGACTTCTAGCTGCCTAGACTGTGAGAGAATAAATTTCTGTTTGTTAAAGCCATCCACCTGTGGTATTTCTTTTATAGCAGCACTAGATGACTAAGACAGGTGTGTCTGGAGTCAATCTCTTTTGAGATATAAAAGAGATTAAACAAGTAAGCAAGAGAAGCAGAGATGGGGTAAGATACATGCCAAGACACATGGTGATCTCCAAGGAACCAAGAAGCAGAAACTGAAGAGAGAAGGACCTTCCTCCAGAGCGAAGGGAGAGAAAGCCTTCCCCTAGAGCCAGCACCCTGAATTTGGACTTCTAGCCTCATAAACTGTGAGAAAATTAATTTCTGTTTGTTAAAGTCACCCACTTGTGGTATTTCTGTTATGGCAGCACTAGATAACTAAGACATACATTGTGTTTTAGGTGTCATATCTAAGAAATATTTTCTTAACCCAAAATAAGAAAAATAAAAATTCTTCTCTGTTTTCTTCTAGAACTTCTATAGTTTTATTTCTTATATTTAGTTCTGTTATCCATTTTGACTTAATTTTTGTGTATATCTGAGGTATGGGCCCAAGTTCATTTTTTTTTTTTTTTCCTTTACATTGTCCAGGCACCATTTGTTGAAAAGATTATCCTTTCTTTATTAAATTGCCTTGGCATCTTTGTAAAAAACAAATTGACCACAGATGTAAGGTTTTTTTTTCCTTTCTGGATTTTGTATTGTATTTATTGCTCTATATCTTATCATTATGCCAATACCACACTACTGTGATTACTGTAGCTCTATAGTAAGTCTTAAAATTGGGTATTGTAAGTTCTCCAACAATGTTCTTTTAAAAAAAAAAGTTTTAACTATTCTAGGTCCTCTTTATTCCTATATAAATCTTATGATAAACTCATCAAGTTCTACCAAAAAGAAAAAAAAAAAAAGCCTACTGGAGTTTTGCTAGGGATTGTATTAAATCTAAGGATTAATTTGAGAAGAATTGCTATCTTAACAATATTAAGTCTTCCAATTTGTTAACACAGAAAGCCTCATCATTTATTTAGATATTCCCTAATTTCTCTCAGCAATATTTTGTAATTTTCAGTGTACAAGTCTTGTACTGATTTTCCTAATTTTATTCGTAAGTATTTTATTCTTTTTGATGCTATTATTAATGAGACTGTTTTCTTAATTTCATCTTCAGACTTATTATTGCTAATGTATAGAAAAACAATTAATTTTTGAATAATGACCTTGCACCTTGTGACCCTCCTAAACTTGCTTTTGAGTTCTGTAGATTCCTTAGGACTTTCTACACACAAGATCACGTCTTTGCAAATAAAGACAGTTTTGGTGGAGCAGTGGTTAAGAGCTCAGGCTGCTAGCTAAAAGGTCAGCAGTTTGAATCCACCAGCTGCTCCTGGGAAACCCTATGCAGCAGTTCAACTCTGTCTTATAGGGTCACTATGAGTCTGAATCGACTCAATGGCAACAGGTTTGATATTAATAAAGAAGGAAGATTCAAGTCAATAATCTAATCTTCTATCTTAAGAAACTAAAGGGAGGAAAATGTAAATTAAATCTAAACAAGTAGAAGGAAAGAAAAAAATAAAGATCAGAGTGGAAACCAATGAAAGAAAAGACAGGATAATACAATTTTGTTCTTTCAAAGATAAACAAAAATGATAAATGTGAGCAATAAAAAAACAGAGAAGTCACAAATTATCAAACTGGGGGGGGCATCACAACTGACCCTACAGAAAATAACACAACTATGGGGGAATATTATGGATAATTTTATGCCAAAATTAGACAACTTAGGTGAAATGGAAAGAGAAACATATAACCTATGGGAGTCTGCAGTCACTTAGGCTCAGTTTTTATTTTTCTTTATTTTTATTTTCAGCTTGTCTCCTTGTAACTACATAGCTTAATGATGAGTCAGTAATTTGGGCAGAAGCTGTACTCAAACACTTTAAGCCTGTACACCTCCACCCTCTGACGATGGATCTGTGTATGGATTGGGTAGCACATTCCAAGTTTCAGGAAGTTTTCATTTAAACGTCAGATTTTAATTTCCACCAGGCCCTCTTGGGTTTTTCCTGCACATGCTTGCAGTTTCTCCGTCAGCCAGACATATGTAGAGAGTTTATTTAGCTCTTATATAGCTCCCTCATTTTCAGATTCTTCCCATTAAATTTCAAGTTAACCCACCACTCACTTCAACTGGGATTGCAACCTCAAGGTAGCAAAGCTTTGGGTTTTCCTACTCGTTTCCAACCAAGTTTTCTACTTTTACTAACAAAACCACTGTGTGTGGGATTTCACACTCTACTTCAAATCAAGTGAGCACCTTCTTGCCATGAGGGAGCTCTGGCTTTTATTTCAAAGCACTCTCTAGTAAAACTACCACTCTGGTAAGCTGGAGGGATATGGGAACACCCACGAGCAAGAATGCAGCAGATTCCCGCTGTTTTTCCTGAAGTTCTACCAACTTTCCATGAATAAATGTTACTTAATTTGTTGTTTGCCTTTGGTTGATTTCCAGCGCCTCGAAATGGTTGCTTTTGAACATTTTGTCCATGTTTTACGTGTTTGTTGGAGAGAGCATTTGCCGAACTTTTCATTCTGCTATAGCCACTCTCCAACATTCTAACAAGTCTGGAGTTCAATACTATTGCCAGGAAGTGTAATGGTAATTTGAAATAGTCATTTAGAAATTTGGAGATCACTCAGTGCAGTTTCTTTTTTTTTAAATAAATCACTTACTTAAAAAAAAAAAAAAAAAAAAAAAACCCTGTTCCCATATCCCTTCTGTTGTTGTTGTGTTGTTACTGTTAGGTGCCATTGAGTCACTTCTGACTCATACAAAAAACGAAACACTGCTCAGTCTTGTGTCATCCTCACAATCATTGCTATGTTTAGTCCATTGTTGCATCCACTGTGTCAATCCATCTCCTTGAGGGTCTTCCTGCTTTTCACTGACCCTCTACTTTACCAAGCATGATGTCCTTCTCCAGGGATGGGACCCTCCTGATAACATGTCCAAAGTATGTGAGATGGTCTCACCATCCTCACTTCTAAGGGGCATTCTGGCTGTTCTTCTTCCAAGACAGATTTGTTTGTTCTGGCAGTCCATGGTATATTCAATATTCCTTGCCAACACCATAATTCAAATGCATCAATTCTTCTTCAGTCTTCTTTATTCATTATCCAGCTTTCACATGCATATGAGGTGATTGAAAATAGCATGACTTGGGTCAGGTGTATCTTAGTCCTTAAAGTGACATCTTTGATTTTTTAACACTTTAAAAAAGGTCTTTTGCAGCAGATCTGCCCAGTGCAATGTGTCGTTTGATTTCTTAATTGCTGCTCCCATGGGTATTGATTGTGGATCCAAGTAAAATGAAATCCTTGACAACTTCAATCTTTTCTCCATTTATCATGATGTCACTTATTGGTCCAGTTGTAAGGATTTTTGTTTTCTTTATGTTGAGGTGTAATCCATACTGAAGGCTGTAGTCTTTGATCTTCATCAGTAAGTGCTTCAAGTCCTCTAGTGATGGCTGGAGCTGGGAACTATGGTCACCTGCATTAGAGCTCATGTTTTACTACTTCCCTCTACTGCCTTGCAGACAAATTGAACATTAGTTTTTCATAGAATTATTAAAGTTGGGGATTAAAAGAAACTTCAAGTCACCAGACCAAAAAACCAAACCTGCTGCCATTGATTGATTCTGATTCATAGCGACCCTACAGGACCGTAGAACTGCCCCACAGGGCTTCCAAGGAGAGGCTTGTGGATTCGTACTGCCAACCTTTTGGTTAGCAGCCAAACTCTAAACCACTGTGCCACCAGGGCTCCTCAAAATTGACCATCTATGTAATCTCCATTCTTTCTGACTTGAGCCTTTGAAATCATTACCTTAGGTCTATGACATTTGTATATTTGCCCAAGCGTGGGCCCTTTCTTTTGTACATTCAGCCATTCCTTCCACAAATATATGTTGAGTGCCTATTATTTGCCAGGTACTGTTCTAGGCATTGGAGATACACTGGTGAACAAAACACAGTTCCTGCCTTCCTAGAGCTTACTGAATTTAGTTTTCCATGTTTTTTTCCGCTTGATGATACTTTCCTTGTACATGCTGAGCTTTTAATTTTTGAGCATCATCTAACCCTCTTGAGATGTATTTTCAATTAGAGTCTCAGGATCTTAGGACAATTATCACTTTTTCTTGAAATCAGCCCTCTGAATACCCACGTCAGTGTCTAATAGCAAAATGGGACCAAGAGACCTTGCCATAATGCAGGAAGTTTGCCATAATTGCACATGTAGGAACTGACTCGTAAATCTCAACTTTGCTTTTTCACTTCATTATTCCATCATGATCTTCCATGGATTGTTCATGGATTTCTTATATGATCAAGATATATTGACAACTCACAAGAGGTTTGTTGGGGATATACTTAAATATAGGTCGAGAATATTTCTCTTTTCTGCATAGAATAATAATTTTTATTATTAATTTAAAATTTTGTCTGCATTCTAGGAATAGCCCTGCACTAGTCTACGCCATCCTTGTTATATGGACTTGGAGCATGCTGCAGTTTCCACTTGACCTTGCAGGTAAGTGTCTTGATGTTTGCTTTAAGAAAGAGAAAATTACAACTCTTGATTATCAACTGTGCTAAAGTTAAGGAGATAATTAAGGGGATTATTGTGTCAATATCCCAGTGTTAGTTCCAGTTCAGCTTGGAAAAAAATTAGACCGAAGCTTAGGAAAGCCATTAGTGGATTCACTCTGGTACACGGTGAGCCTAAGGTAGTATAGTGGATTAGCTTTACACCCACTTCAAACAGTTGTTCCATCACTTATGATTTGTAAAATCTCCTGCAAATTAGTTAATGTGTCTGTGCCTGAAATGGGAATGATACTAGTAGCTGGCGTTAGGGTTCTTGTGATTACTAAATAAGATGCAGTTGATAAAGTGCCTAGCATAGTTGCTGGCACATAAGTGTTAGCTCTTCGTATTTTTAAGAGGTCATTTTTCATTTCTTTGTCAGAGCCATGTATTAGAACCTCAGAGTGAGTAAGCGCAGTTTCAAGACCACATGGAAAATTAAAATTCTCTTCAGGTGGTCCTTGGAATCTTGTTGGTCTTACTTTAATAAAGAAATAAACTGCCAAGTTTTTTAAGAAATAGAATGTTTTCCAGGCATTTCATGCTAGTGATGGCCTAGAGCTGCATTGTCTAGTACAGTAGACACCAGCCACATGTGGCTCCTTGAATTTAAATGAATTAAAATAGAATAAAATTAAAAGCTCATTTTCTCAGACACACTAGCCACATTGAAGTCCTCAATTGTCATATATGGCTACTATATGGGACAGCACAGATATAAAACATTTTTATCCTCACAGAAAGTTCTATTGGACAGTACTGATATGGAGTCATCCCATAACGCGTAGGACCCTGTAATTTGATTTGGAATTCTCCCGGATGCCACCTTACCCTGAAGAAATTCTAGGATTTAATAATTACATTTTCCTCAGGTCAGACTTCTTTTTTATTGCACCCTACTCTCATGGACTCAGGATTAGAATTAATCTTTAGGATAGAGTTGTTTAATTTTTTTGTTCTGCATCTTTTTTTGTTCACTTCGATATACCTAGAGGTCTCGAAGGCCATTTCAGATCCTAGCATCCACTTTTTGCAAACAAAATTGTCACCAGAGTGGATAGGAAGAGTCACTGTGTTTTTTGTTTGTTCTGTTCTCAAATACCAAAAACCTAATTACCAATAATAATGATAAACAAATGTATGTCCATAACATATACAAGCACACACACATACACACACACACACAAACATACAAAGATTTTTGTCCTACAGCCCATAGGTCAACTGAGAAAATATTCAGCATTATCACTTTAGATGTCTAGTAATACCCTCAGAGGGTCCTCTGGGAACCATTTCCTGACCCTAACTTTATAGGAAAGGCTATTATTGATCCTATATTGGTTTTTCTTCTGGCATTCTGTCTGCTAATCCTCGCCCTCCTTCCATATTTTGTGGTTTATAGCCTTGCTAAGAAATTTTTTGTTTAAGAAAGAAATTTTGTAAACTTTCAGGGGTGATAATGTTATGCAGCTGTTTGAAAAACAAAGACCAAATGTTACTTCTGACTAAATCACTATTGTATTTTCCAACAAACAGTACATTATATTCCTCCATATCAATAAAAAGCTTAAGAATATTTGCAGGCTCCAGTACACGAAAGGTTTCTTTGTTTGAAAACTCCAAATGGAAGGTTTCATTATTATAAAAGGATTATTTCCCGCCCTTGACCCTGAATTAACTTTGCATTTTAGAAATTAAAACAAAAGGTTCATCTGTTGATTGGACCTCCTTTTGTTTAACTAGAAAATCAGTAATTCTATTCAGTCTTTTCTTGGAAACTGTGAAACAAAACCATAAGGAATTAGAACAAAATAAAACAACAATGGCGTTTCTTTGGACTTCTTTTTCCCACAGTTAGCAAAATATGTTTAACATTAATTAAGTTTGAATTTGAATGTAAGTGCTTGAATTTTTCCAGCACAATTTAAACACATGGCCAAATGAACAGATAAATAAGTAGATTCCAAAGAGAGGATACAGAGGGACTGAGTCACATATACTCTTCCATCTCCCAAACGTATCAGTCAGGCAAATCACTCATTATCACAAGGGAAAGCTTGGGTAAGAAAGCAGAGAGAAGCCAGGAGTGTTACTCTAATGCAAATTCAGCCCTGTATTAGTTTCCTAGAGCTGCCTTGTCTTAGTCATCTAGCGCTCCTATAACAGATATCACAAGTGGATGGCTTTAACAAAGAGAAATTTATTCTCTCACAGTCTAGTAGGTTACAAGTCCAAATTCAGGGCATAACATCCAGGCGAATGCTTTCTCTGTTGGCTCTGGAGGAAGGTCTATGTCATCAATCTTCCCTTGGTCTGGGAGCTTCTCTGCACAGGAACCTCAGGTCCAAAGGACGCGCTCTGCTCCCGGCACTGCTTTCTTGGTGGTATGAGGTCCCCACTCTCTGCTTGCTTCCCTTTCCTCTTATCTCTGTAAGATAAAAGGTGGTGCAGGCCACACCCCAGAGTAACTTCTTGTACATTGGATCAGGGATGTGACCTTAGTAAAGGTGTTACAATTCCACCCTAATCCTCTTTAACATAAAATTACAATCACAAAATTGAGGACAACCACACTATACTAGGAATCATGGCCCAGCCAAATTGATACACACATAATTCAATCTACAACATGCCTTAACAAATTACCACAAAACCCCATTCTGGAGTCTAAAAGTCTGAAATCAAGGTATCAGCAGAGGCATACTCCTTCCTTGCCTCCTCCTAGCTTCTGGGTGTTGCTGGCAATCCTTGACACTTCTTGGCTTGCAGCTGCTTCACTCCAATTTCTGCCTGTGTCTTCATGTGGCCTTTTTTCTGCATGTATTTGTGTTGTTGTGTGCCCTCTACTTATAAGTACACCAGGGTTATTAGACTTAGGGCCCACCCTATGGCCTCATGTTAAGTAATTACATAAGCAAAGACCCTATTTCCAAATTACGTCACATTCTGAGGTCTGGGAAGACATGAATTTTATTTTTTTATTTTTTGGGGTGGGGTACTCTATCCAATCCAGCATAATCCCCATGGAAACAAAATGAGTCAACAAATAAGTGTTCCTCCCCTCACAGATACTATCATTATCCCAGTTTTCAAATGAAGAAACTGAGGCCCAGCAGGTCCAGTAACTTGACTAGCGTCTCACTGATAGAAAATGGAGGAGCCAGGAGAAGCAGCCACCTTGATTGCTTCCCTGCCCTCCAGACCCAAGGACAGACATGCTGGCTTCCTTTATTCTCTTTAGTCTGTTCAACTGCGTTTTATGTGAGAACTAGGAAGTGCTCTGAAATTTTTAAGTGGATGGAGAGTAGAGGACTGACTTTTTTTGGTGTGGTCTATTGGAATGATGACAGCTTACCCATTTTGAATGTAAAATGACCTAGCATGTTAAATAGCAGGGTGGTTTCACTTGTTCCACCCAGAATTAAATTATAAAATCATTTACAAGCATAGCACCCATTGTTAATGGCATACCCCCACTGTTCATGACATGCCCCCATCTTATCAACCTGTATGTCTACCTTTCCTAGGACACTAAACTGGTCTGTCTTTCATTTTCAGTACAGTACGTTGTGTGCCCCTCGTCTGTGATAGCCAGGGGATTTACCAGCCTGTTCTTTTGCCAGTACAGTGCTGATCTGTGGAACATTGGAATCAGCGTCTTCATACAAGATGGGCCTTTCCTTGTCGTGCGTCTCATACTAATGACCTATTTTAAAGTGGTAAACCAGATGCTGGTATTCTTTGCCGTGAAAAATTTCCTCGTGGTGGTGTTACAACTCTACCGCCTGGTGGTGCTGGCCTTGGCAGTCCGAACTTCCTTGCAAAAGCAGTCAAAAGGCCGGAAAGGAGAGGACAACTGCTCCGTTCAACCAGCCGAGAGTGGCCTCTTACCCAGGGGCTGGGAGAGCAATTCTAGGGAGGGCTCAGCTATCCCTTTGCAGACCTTACCAGTCACTTCCGATGACTGCCCCCCAACTCCATAGTTATTTATTCACAGTGGCAAGCATGCTGGAATGGTTGACTTTCTGATTCTTCTCACAGACAGGATCTCCCTTTTTTTTTTTTTTCTTTCCTAACCTTGGCATACAATAATTTTCAAAAGAACCACATACAAAAAATGATCTTAAACCAAAGCCGAAGGATTTTCTTTTTTCAACTGAAGGAACTTTGATTAGTGGCTATCAGTGCAACTTCTATGTGATGGTATCAGATGTTTTAGTTGTTCAACAACTAAGTGATTTGTTTGTCTTGAACTGTTTGAAAAGCTGTGGACACGGTTACAGTGACATGCCCTCGAAAGAGCTAATGCAGACAAACAGTGCCATGACTGTTACCCGAAAATGCTGAAGCTTTGAACTTAGGCTCCATTGTCAAACTATCTCGTCTGATCTTTTCTGCAATGTCCCTCTGACATCAAAAAATGTACATTCAGTGAATGCAGAATAAATGAAGGGAAAAGTGCCTTTAAAATTACCTCACTGTGGGCTGGAAGCAGTGAAAACCTCTGCCCAGCTTCCATGTGTGTCATAGAGAGCCCTATTCATCGCTGCACGGGCCCTCCCAGGAAAATCATTGTCCTGGGCTTATGTGGTATTCTGTCATGGTGCATATGCTCTTACAGAAATTTTATTGCTTTTGGCTTGGGTACTACAGAATTCACAGCAAGCCATTTCAGTTACACATTCACTGGTTGCAAGACAGGAAATACTGGTAAAATGCTAGCAAAGTCACAATTTCCATTCTGAACATGATCTGCGGTATTTGTAAGAATTTTTCTTCACTCCACTTTACCATTTTCAATATTGCCAGGTTGGATGACATGCGTTGATGCAGAGAATCACTGAAGCAATGAATGGAGGTGTTTAGGCCCCTTCAATGTTATCACAGTTTCTGGTGTCTGCTAGCAGTAGTGAGCAGAGCTGTAGCTCCTCTGAACTGCCTCTGCCTTTGGCCTCCGGGAGCATGTTGGTGACAGAGCCCTAAGCACAGCCAACTGCCCTTGATTAGTAATGGGGGTCAAAATACGCCACAGTATTGTGGAAATGAAGAATTTGCTTTAGCTCCCCGTACTAAGGAGCCCTGGCGGCACAGTGATTAAGTGCTCAGCTGCTAACTGAAAGCTCGGCGGTTGGAACTCAACAGCCGCTTCCCCGAAGAAAGGTGTAGCAGTCTGCTTCCGTAAAGTTGACAGCCTTGGAAGCCGCATGCGGCGGTTCTAGTCTGTCCTACAGGATCACTATGAGTCAGAATCGACTCGACAGCAATGGGTTTGGTTTTGGGTTTTTCTCTGTACTAAGACTTCATTTTCCTGTATTGAAATAGCCATGCTATCCCTGTACACACCTCTGTACTTTCCAGATGGAGGTGATTCAGAACCTTTTAAAAGTGATTTTTGCTTCTAAAGATATAGCATGAACATTCACCCTGCTCTATAGCAGTAATTATATGAGAGAAACAGTTCCAAAACTGTTCTTTTGGGGTTCAAGAATAATTCCTTCTGTGTTACGCTCAGAAATTCAAAGGGGATATTAAAGACAAAGCAGGATATGGCCTTAAATTGGGGGTAGCCTATTGACAGCCAGTTGGGACAATTTTATCTATACATCTCCGTATGACCTGATATCTGTTCAACATATTTGATGAAAAGTTGCATAGACAAATTCTATTTTCATACAGAGAAATGCATATATTCCAATTAATGGTTTCTTCAGTGCCTGTAATCATAACTTTCATTTTCTTTCTTTTCTTCCTTGTTTTTCTAATTTAAGCAATATAATGATTGTAAAATTATATATGAAACTGATGGAATACATGTTAAATTTTCCATAATAAGTTTGTGAAAGTTAAAGTCAGAAAATTATATTTATATGAGGTAAAGAACCTGACAACTTTTAAGGGCGTGTTATTTAAAATGTTTAGCATTGAAACCACAATAATAACTGCTGTTTATAAAAATGCCTCAGCAAAATCTGTTTTCATGTCGACTGATGTTGAATGTTTTCTTCCCCAACATGTACGTGCTGCTTATTATTGTGGATTTGCTCATGGCAGAGTTTCGTGTTTTATTTATTTATTTTTTTCTTCCAGTAAAACAAGCATTGAGCCTCTAAAAATAAAGTATAAAGTAGTATGGCTGTTGCAAGAATATTTTTAAATGCTTCCAAATCTGAGACTTGGCTTAGCTTCATGAATGAGTTTCTAGTATTTAAGTACAGTATTTTGTAATTAGCATTCTACTGAAGGCCTGGGAAATAGGAAGCCTGTCCAGAGATTAGCTTTACTAAACTGCCAGGAAGTCAAAGAGTGTCCAGGACCATCTTGGCAAAAATAGACACATTCTCTGTGAGATTTTCCAGGAAAATCTACTAAGGGCAGCATTTGTTAACCTAACTACCAGTACTCCTACTCCTTTGGACCGGCTGTTTTTATAGTAGAAAAAAAAAAATCTGTATTCACTTAGTTGATTTTAAAAAGTCCTTAAGTCCAGGTCATATCCACAAGAGCCCTGTTGAAAAGTTAAATTTTTATTCAGTTAATTGTATTGTTTAACCGTAGACTGCTAAACATTGCAGTGTTTGAAAACATCCAAGGGTTTGCTATATAGTGGCTAGAACATGCTCATCTTCAATGTGTTGGCATCCTGTAGATGCTTACATTTGATTTATAACAAGAGAAATGACTCAGATCATCTGTGTAGTGTGATGCAGGCCTTTACCTCTCTACCACCCCCACAAACACATAACACACCAATCCCCAACCACTGGATCAAGTGGCTCATTTGTAGTTGTTGATGGCGTTGTTACGGCTGTTGTTGTTATTTAATTGCTTGCTCAAGCAAATGTCCTTCCTAGAAACCCATTATTCCACTTGTGAGAAAATACAAGTTACATGTTTTAATGATGGTATGTATAAACACACCTAATAACCATCTTGTTGGTTTCTTTGCCCTTAGTGGATACGTCTCAGAGGAGATGAATTGTCCCATTAATATCTTAATCTCTGTAAAAAATGATAGATCATTACAGGGCCCATATCCCCTTCCTTCCTTCCTCCTTTTCTTCCTTCCTTCCTTCCTTCCTCCCTCCCTCCCTTCCTTCTTACTAAAGACAGAATGACTAAAAGTTAGGTGTCCTGAAAGGTGCTTTTATTAATAGATAGTAGGAGATTAGAAGGCACTGTGAAGTTTCTCCCTGAATTTACCCACACCCTCTCAGTCCCTCTTGCGTTGGTAAATAGAACATTCTACTCCATGTAGCCCTTGTTGGAATTCTGCTATAGAAATCCCAACGGCTGCTACTAGAAGAGAAAAAAACAAAACAAACTTCACCTCTTTGATAAATACTAACATTTAACTGCCACAAGAGTGCTATCACTTGTAAAAAGAAAAGTTAGAATTTGCAACTGAATTTTGCTGTACTTTTTTGCCATTATTTCTCTATTATCAGATGATACGATTAGTAAACTATCTTTGTATTTGATTATTCTGTTAATTTTTATTGGAACTGATAACATAAGAAAATAAAAATTTTTATTGACCAATAATCTTTCTAACCTTCCGAAATGAAGATTATGACACAGTTTCACCCACTGGCTTTGTTATAGTTCCGCTAACATATAGCAGCACTCTAGGCCTTGTAAGACCACACAGATATGGCCAAGAAATATCAGGATTTACTATCGTAATGTAAGTTATTAAGTTATTATTTCATAGAAATGTTCCAAAGCTTTGGGAGGCAGGCATTACAGGTGTACATACTTCAGGATTTTCAACTAGGGCTTCAGAGTTGAACATTGACTCATCCTTTTTGGCATTTCGTCTGAATGACTCTTAAGCAACTCTCCTGTTAAAAGAGAGAAAGGATTCAAAACGCCAAGCCTCTGTCTACCTTCACTCTACTCCAACGCCAAGAAAGTAAGATGTTGAAATATAGTGCAGAGCCTCAGGATGCAAATGAAAAACCAAACAAACTTGAGTTACATGAAGAGAAGAGTCTGTTACTGTTTTACAACTTCAGACTCTGCTTTTTACTGAGTGGACACTCTGATCTGCTCTTGGAACCCTCTGATTTGGGGTTAAGCAGGCAGCTGGAGATGTTTACAGCTTTGAGGCTTCAAATAACTTTCCATATGATGCTAGTAACTCTAAACAATGTTCGAATAATCACCTGCTACAGACTTATTTTTTTATGGTTGTCCATCTTCTGAATCTTTCTTACTAGATAACTTATAAAAATATTGTCTCTGATTTATTTATATTTATACTATTTTCTAATGAATGGCCTTTGTATGTTATCAGATACGGATATATTAAATAGTTTGTACACAACTTTATCTTAATGTCTATTTTTTGCCTACTTTTCATGCCTTTGTTTTCTACTGTAATTCATTTAATTTTTAGTTTTTAAGCCTTGGTTTAAAAAGAAAAAAAAAACTGACCTATTTAGAATATGATTCAACAGGCATTTCAAACTAGTGAGGAAAGGCTGAGCAATTTAACAAATGATGTTGGGAAATTCTGCCATCCATCTAGAAAAAATAAAGTTAGATTTCTATCTCATGCAATATACAGAAATAAAACCCAGATGCATTAAAGATCCATATATAAAAGTGAAAACCATAAAATATTAGAAGAAAATACAGAATGCGCTTTTAGCATTGGAGAATGAGGAAGATCTTCCATGGCAAGACATGAAACTCAGAAGCTATAAGAGAAAACATTTACAGATTTTCTTACATAAAATAAAGGTTTAAAATTTCTGAATGGCAAAAGTTATCATGAACATATCACTACTATTTTCTGGAGTTGGTGCAATCAGACCAGAGAAATGAGAGGTACGAGACTTGAAAACGAGGAACCAAATTTATCATTTATTCATATGTAATAAGATTGAATACCTACCTTGAACACAAAAAAAAGCCATACAAAAACCTAAAAAACTGTTAAAAATAATTCAAAATCATACAAAAGCCAGTAGATATTTTA